ATCGGGTGGCTTGTCGCATGTGTTGTGATAATGCGTGCTGATGTAGCCACTCTAGAAGCAGTCCTCTTACGGTACCGATGGATAGCCTGTCTCTATTCCCGTCCCCTACTAACAACACCCTTCTTGAATTAGCAACGAATATTTGCAGCTGAGCAATCAATTCCTGATCTTTCGTTGCATTCGCCTGCGGAGCTTGGTAGATGCACATGACGGTTAATGTGTTTCAGTCTATTTTAACTGCACAACTGACGGCTTACATGTGCGGAGTCGCTAGCGCTGCAGTTGCCTCCCACTGTCTGTGTTCTAACTTTATCATTGGCGGAACCTCACCTCCTTACCTCTCATCCATCCTATCATGTCCATAAGTAGTGTAGCCATCCAGCCCTGGGGTGCTATTGTGACTTTGCATCCAAGTTTCAGTTATGGCTACGATGTGTATACCTGGGGTGCACCTTCTCACCTATCCCCACGTATCCTGTATGCTGCAAGCATTGGTGTACTACGGTGTGACTGTGTCTGGTCTAGCATGCCCGTTCACTTTTTGCAAGACGAATAATGACCCTTGCCAATCGAGCGTCCAAAGTATTGTGTTGTCGGCCGGTGTTCTTCGCCCCCATCACTGTGTTTTCTGAGTTCTTAACCAGGTTTTCTCAGTCGAGCTGGAAATGAGAAAACGGAAGAGATGTTTTATCGCCTTATCAGTGAGAAACCTTATTTTGCATAAACATACCATTTCCTAGTACAATTGCATAGTTCGGGACTGCAATTCACCTGGCTCTTAGTGATGGTGCTATACCACCCAACCTCAGGGAACATTTCCGGCCAACACGCATCCATTGCCCGCTTGCAGCGTTCGATCTGGCTAAGCTCTTTTCAATACTCCCTGTCTTCTGTTCACCAGAGCTCCGCGACTATCAATTCTTTTTCTGTGTTCGTCTCGTAAATATAAATATGTTGTACATATGATCATGCTCTTGCAAGCTTCACGGGGCTTCGTGAAATATACAATTATTATTAGTATTATTATCATTAAAACTAAACGCAAATTAGACAACCATTTGGATAGGCGAACCCCACCTTCTCCAGTCGGATTTTAGTTACGCTTAGTGTTACGCAACTTCTCGTGCGTCATCAAAAGCACCAAGAAAGATGTCGACGTAGAAATTATTCCCAACATCAACTGATACCGAAGCGGGGAAATAGTCTCCATGCTGTGCAGCTGTCCGTCAGAGGGCTTAGTTTGCGCAGAAAGACGAGGAATGGATGAACGGTCAGTCAGTAGTCTAGTGCTGGGCTCTGTACACCGCCTTCAGACCACCATAGTAGTCATGGGGCGTTGCGTGGATCCTCTGGTATCTTAACTTGGGGGAATATTTCCTGTATGTTGGCTGCCACTGCAACTACTCCTAGCCGAAATCGGTTTTGTACGTGAATCAAGGGAGTGGTCTAATCTGGTCCCTGCAACAGACAGCCATTAAGGGAGAGGCCGCCGTATCGCACCGCACAATCAAGGACAACGCTTATCTTTCCTGGCCTTCTAGGGTTGGTTACCGGGTGATGTGGCAAGTACCATTGTCGTTCCCCGCGGGGTTGTGACACGTCCACCCGTTCTACATATCCCAGGCGCTCGTTCCTCTTGGCTGCTTCCCCACGGTAAGGAACATTCAGTGGCACAAAACTCTGACATGCGGCATGCTGGCGAGTTGTCCGGAGCAAAAACTGGCGACCTTCGCATGGTAACGGATGCATTCGGCCAGCTCGGTGAAATTCGGTTTCCTCCCCAAACGACCGATCATCACAGCCTCCTCTATCCATCGCTGTTGTATGTCAGCCGGCAGGCATCGTACTGTCGCTTCTATGCTGTGTAATGCATTCATATCTGCTTCTTAACTCATTTGAATCAGGGCAATGAAACAGTTTTGCAACTTCATTGCGAGTCGCACCAACGATTCACGTTTATTTCTCGCTTTACGGGCCTGGGCTAGCACCCCGTCTATGAGCGTCCGTGTAACATGAAACGGTTGACCAAACAATTCCTTTAGAATGTCCCATGCTTGGCTATATCCAAGTTAGTTTGGTAGCATATAATATTATTCAATAGCGTTCCGGGCCTTACCGCGGCACTAATGCTTTAGGTACAGAACGTCTGCCCGAAATCGGCGACTTGAAACTCGACAAAATTATCAAATACTTTAGGGAATCTCCAACAGCTGTTGGGGTTCCCATCGAATGGTGCAGGCTCTAGCTTGGGCAGATCAATCGACGTGAGGCGGTACATTACTTCGATCGGTGGTTGAGTCACTTGCGGCGTCAATCTAATGGACAAGGTTTGTTTATCGGTGGCGGCGTGCTTATTCGAGCAAGGTTGCCTACCCAGCGCTTCCATGAGCTTCGTTGAGCTAATCTGTAATTCTAAAATCTTACGGAGGTATGTATCAAAAATCTTATTATCGGTTTCACAGTCTAGGGCACACAAACGTCTAGCAATAACGCGAGTAGCTTAATTATATATGTGAGAACCAGAACCCCGCCCCCCAAATTCCCCAATGACTTGCTTGGTTACCTCCTTCAGAACGTCGTACGCATTCTTCTCCGGTGCTTTAAGGATAATATCCCTGATGGCGGACATTCGGTCGCCAGGGCTCGCCTCTACTGCGTAAACGTATTTGGAGCGCTGGCTCCGCACGTTACGGGCGACAAACTGCGTTTCTAACGCAGCAAACCACACCTCCGGGTCATGGGGGATGAACGCTACTGGCTTAAAACTAATAGCCAACAGGTCCAGCTCCCTATCGTCTACTGGTGGACGTTCCTTGGCCATCGTACAAATGCGATAAACAATTATATCGTGCTAATGATAATGAACCATGAGGAAAAAGTGCAAACCAAATTGCATTTGACTTATAAAGTAAACGTTGCGGGCTCACCAATGAAGCTAACCGGTGTTGACGGCCTGCCGGTAAGGCTTCCTACGAGTCTCAGAGTGCGCGCGACCTCCTAGTGACTCGTTTCCCGAGGTAGACAAAAACACTCGTGGGAGTCGTAAACGTTTATTGGCGAATTGTGGTACTAGATAGTACCGAGACGTGCTGAGTTGACGCTAAACAAAGCAAGCAATAAATGCAGTAGCAGAGCGATAGCGTGTCACACGTGTAGCGTGGATTTGAACAGCACCCAGCTTATATATACACCTGAGCGGAAAACCGTGCTCGGTAACCAAACAGAAGTAAAACAAAGAAATATCACATTTGTAGTCCAAGTTGATTGTGAAGAAAATATGAACGGAAAAGGTCTTCGTGGATTGCTCCTTTTCTTAGTACAATCATGGTCATTACAGCAGCCCCCCTCTAGAAAGCAAGCAAAAGCTTTCGAATCAGAAACGAATTTGAAGAG